GAGCTCCAGGATAAGGGAATTCTTGGCAGTGGTGGTTAGAGGTTGAGGCAATGGCAGAACAAGTTTCATATGAACTTCCCAAAATGCGAAAGTCAGCTCTGGCTCGACAGTACCTCTGCTGTTCAGTGATGACTGTGGCATGGGGTGAGTTGTGTTCATGGCATTAATGTTTCTGGCATAACCTCTTTCTTAAAAATAAATCCGATCCCTGCTTCCAGAATGGCTGCAGGGAAACCCCTGAGCTCTTCAGGGGCTTGGAACTGGGCATGTCTTACAGGTTACCCAGTAAACTGAAGGTTAACCCTTGACTGAAGTTAATACCCTCCTGGTGGGTTTGTTTGGTTTTAGTTTAAAAATCTTCCTTCAGAGCAAAAACAAGCTATTAGATTAGTGAAAACTATAAATTATCTGGAACTAAAGCAGGGCTGGATACATCCAGCCCCAAAGGCTCTGGATGAAGGACTGCATCTCTGAAGGACTCTTATTTTATATATATATAAAATAATATAGAGACAGCAATATAGAGATATTGCTGATCTCTACCCATTCCTGTCAATGGCTGGAGGCTGCAGGAGCTTTGGCAGAAGTGAGAAAAGCGTAGGTGCATTTCTTTCTTTTCATATGATTAGATTGCATACTGCACAAGCAGGAATGAAAATCAGATACTTTTTTTTAATTGTACTCCTAAAGAGCTGTTCTTTGTATAGTTGTGTACTGGAACTGGGCATTTTTTTCCTGCAAAGAGTTAGTGTGGTGATTCTCTGATATGGGATAGACTTGCCTGTCAGACACCAGTCTTCCAAAAAGTCCTCTTTGATGGAGACACAGAAACTGTCTGTGGTGTGCCTTTCCTACATGGCTGTTCTTCATTTGTTCTGGGGCCAAAACACTGAAGGTATAGTTATTAGCTAATCAATTTACTGGAAGAAGTTCTTCACTGCAAGGGTGCTGAGGCCCTGGCACAGGCTGCCCAGAGAAGCTGTGGCTGCCCCATCCCTGGCAGTGTTCAAAGCCAGGTTGGACGGGGCTTTGACCGACCTGGTCTAGTGAAAGCTGTCCCTGCCTGTGGCAGTGGAGTGGAACTAGATGAGCTTTAAGGTCCCTTCCAGCTCAAATCATTCTATGATTTTATGATTCTATGATTCATAAAATAAGTTACAGTCCAGGAAAAAGATAAAAATAAATTGGCGTTGGTGGGTCTGTAAGACGTCGAGAATACCTTGTGTCTGTGAATGTGCTGCAGTTCCCCCGAAGCTTCTCACTTCGTGCTAGTCTTCAGGCTTTGCCAGCAGCTGGATGGTTAAATTAGTGTGTTGCCCAGGCCATGGGGAGCCAGGCTGTGCTCCCCACTGCTGCTCACTGGGGAGGTCCATGAACCAGCCCAAAATGTGGGTGCTTATGGCACCAGAAGACTGGACACCTGCTCAGAAAGTCCTTTCCTGTCTTGCACGGAATGTGTGGTGGGAAATATACCATTTAATTAGCTTTAAAATGCAACGTGTTCCTCACCTTCTATTTTTAAATGACATCAATATAATTACCTCTATAATTAATGTGGATGGTAGCAAAACGCTAGCCTGATAATTTTGCATCGTCTTAATTAGCATTAATTTTTCTTTCTTTCTTTAGATGGTGTGTCTTTCAAACGCTTCTTCTGTAATTGTCAATTCAGACATCACTTTTCCGAAAGATATAATGGAACAGGGTATTGCAATTATTGAACATGAGAGGAAAAAGAAATACGCAAATGGAAATACATTTCAAAATATAAGTATTTGCTTTTTATAAAGCACAGAAGAAAACATGTCTCTGAGGCTGAAAACATGTCTCTGAGGGTAGAAGAAAATGGCTGATGCAAATGCTTAGTGTCAAAAAACACAAATAAATTGAAAATTTGAGTTAGAAGTTGCTTCAGAATATAAATAGTAATAGATAACTCTCCCAATAATAAGCACAGAAAAAGTTTAAATAGCTGTACAATATCTTCATTGAGTAATTTTTTTGAAGCCAAACTGGTACTTTGAGTGAGACATACATTGTGCTACACATTATACCAGTGATTTTCAGATTATTAGATTATTTGGCCATGTTTCTTGTTCCAGATAGAGCATGAACACTTGAATAATTTGTTTGTAAAACCCTCAGATTTTGATTTAGTCTAGAACATAGGCTGCTCTTGTAGCTCTCTTGGAGAAACTTCACAACTGATCCTGAATTTTTTCTTTTTTTTTTTTTTTTTTTTGACCTTATGTACTTCTGTGAACTTGACCTGATGTGCTAATAACAGCTCATCTGATGATGGCTGTGGTTTTGAGCAACCTGATCTAGTTGAAGATGTCCCTGCTCATTGCAGGGGGGTTGGACTGGATGACCTTTGAAGGTTCATTCCAACCCAAACTCTTCCCTGATTCTGTGTTAATGTGTCAGACCTCTACAAACCAAACCAGTAATCAGCCTGCTAAGTGTAGACTTGTTTCATCTGTGTTTGTGTTTTACTTACTAGGGACAAGATGTAGCATCTTACTGTAAAAAAAGTAAAAATAAATAAATTGGAAAACCCACAGATTCAGGGTACAAACTGGAACTTGGGAAGTGTTTGTGTGACAGCTTGTATGAATTGAAAGTTTGAAAAATCTGCCTCTACTGCCATGGATTTAACCTACTCAAGTAGCTGTGACTGCTTTAGCTCTTGCTGTGATTTGCCAGAGATGGGCAGTTAGAGCTGCTTTTCAAAATTACCCCCGTATCTGTTCCTTGGTCAGCCCTCAGTGTACATTCCCTTCTCTAAATACTTCCAGAATGTAACTGGATGAGCTAGTGCATATGCAGAATTTCCAGCAACTTGGCTGAGGTTATATGGATTTTTAAAGGCTCTGGGACTTGCTTTTGTACACAGAAAAGTGGGTAAGGGAAACAGAAAATGTCCATGTGAAGAAAAGGTGGCATTTTTTGAGGTGATATGGTCTTGTTTCACTCCCTTCCAAAAGGCTGGTGTGCTTTGGAGTGTGGTGGCTGCAGAACAGTGTCAGGTTGGTATTTCAAAGTCTTTCTTTCTCACTGGAGAAAAGTCCAAGTATTGGCCAATGGGCAAGGTTTTTTTAAGGCAAAGCAATACTTTGAGACCCTCAGATTTGATCTCAGTGATTTAACATCGGATGAATAAATGCAACAAGCAGCTGGTGCTTTGCTGACATTGGGATCACGGATTTTCACCCATGCAAGGGGCTGGTGAGTGTTGAGTAAGAAATTTGGAAAATGGAAAGACGACTGATCCTGGGAGCTCTTGCTCTCCCTCGTGGCTTTGATTTGGACCTACCTGCTCCACTGCCACCTTGGCATGCTACTTTCAAATTCCATGGAAGTTTTATCTGAACTTCCAACTTCCAAACCCTTGCCTTTATTCCCTTTAATGCTTTGCTCAGCATGCAGGTTTAAGAGTAACATGGGGAAAATTTCCTTTAGTAACACACCACTGCCAAGCATCGTGTCTCCAAGTGATGAGGTATCTCCCTCCCTCTGCTTAATTCACTGAAAAAGTTCCATTTGCTGCTTGATTTGAGTCTTATTCCTTGAGTACAATTCAGTGTTTCACTGGAAGTCTTGATGGATAGACATCCCCTGGGGCACTGTGTTATTTGTGGTTCAGATCTTGGTCCTGGCTCTTTTAATTATACTATAGTCCTTTTACAAGAGGAATAGGTTGTATAGGAACTCTGAAAGTACCAAGTATGGTATGTGTATGTTCACAAGCTGTAGTTGTCTGTGCTTTTATTATATGGCTCTGTTAATTTAAGCATTGCCACCTAAGTGAGTATTTTGTATATTTTTGACAGCAAAAGACAATTTCTCCATTGCAGTTATATAGATTTTTTTTACCAATCAAAACCTGAACAGGGCATAATAATTCTATCACTTGCCATGGTCTTGACATTATTTTATTAGCTGCAGCCTTTCTCCTATGTCACATTTCCACCCCAGTGGTACTGCAGCCCCATGGCTCTAACAGCAGAGCAGATGCTCTTTGTAATTGAATGGTGGGTGCTGGTAGCTCTGCTCTCTGGTCTCCTCCTGCTGAGGAGAGAGGACAGGAAAAAGAAAATAATTCACTTTTTTCTAAGAAAAGGAAAGCGCAAAGCAATACAGACCAAAGGCTGTTCCCTAAGGTCATTCAAGAGCTTTTGTGGTAGGGCCAGCAACATTATGAAGTTCGCAAACAGTGGTTCAGGAGCAGGGAGATGATTCCTTTGTGCAATTTTATGTAAATACTTGCATTTCTCTACCAGCTTCCTTCATTTCCTCCCCCTTCCTCTGTGGTTTCTACATTTTCATCCCTCTCTAGTCAGCATACTTTGCTCCTTGTGTTGTTCATGAGGAGCATGCAGGAGAGCTGGCTGGAGAGCCCACAGTGGATTAGACTTAGCATGGAAGTTAAGTCAATATTCTTTAGCGCTCCTTCAGATTCCAAACCCACCCACAAAGTATTGAGATCTGGTTGAGCATTCTTCCACATCAGCCAGATGGATCTCTGCTCCAGGGCCTCGATGGTGCTGCCCCCAGAGCTCAGCCAGAACTGCATCCATATGGATCTTTAACAATATTGGTACACAAACTTAAGGTTGATACTAGGAGGAAGACTTACTTTAGAAAGATTGGAATCTTCCAATGATGGGCTTGATTTATCCATCATTAAGATCTGTGAAATTTCTCCTGAAGATACTGATCACAATTACATACTTCTATAGTATTCCCAGGAGGTAAAACTGAGTGTGTGCTGGGGTGATTCCTGGGCTTGGTCCCATAAAATTGGTTTTCCTCAACACAGTATTCCTTCTCTTACGTACAGCAGACATTCATTAGTGGAGAAACTTGCATAAAACTCATGAAATCCAAGGCACCACTTCAGTGTTTGGAGAAGAAAGTAGTTCTGCTCCGCTGGAGCCATCAGCAGTTGTTAGGACTTTTGCTGACTCTTTGTCACTTCAATGGTTTTCTGTTTCCAGGTCTTTTCTTACACTGCTGACAAAGAGATCCGCACAGACGACTTGTGCCTGGACGTCTCGAGGCTGAATGGCCCTGTCATCATGCTGAAGTGCCACCACATGAGGGGGAACCAGCTCTGGGAGTATGATGCTGAGGTACCCATGGCTTAAGCTGTTGCACCCACACTCATCAGGGTAGAGCTGGGAATTTATTCTCAGAAGAGCATGGCTGTATCCTGAGGAGCCTGGGAATGACATGGTGGACCAATGCAGTGGGGTCTCCTGCCATATCACAGGCTTGGGGGTGCAAAGTAATTCAGATGACCATTGAGTTTTAAATGGTGTTTCCTCAAAATGTTGGTTTTTCGGGGGTGAAAAAGTCAATTATTGTTTAGAAAAGCTTATTTCTAGTAGCTAGCGTTGTCTTGCGTTCTTGTAAACTTAAAAGTATTCTGCATTTTTTATATAAGCGATGTAGAAAACAAGATTTATTTCGTTTTTAGTTAAAGCCTTTCCGGTTTCTTTCTTCTGGCTTTTCAAGGTTATTTACTCTGCATTTAAATTATGTTTAATAATTCTCAGTGCTTATTATCAGTATCTTCTTTAGGTTGTCACTACCATGGGATGGGAGGTGGCTTCTTCTGGGTTTTGAGAGGGAGTGCATTTTCAAGAAATTCGGTGGCTTACGTGAGGTGGCTTGCAAAATGAATACAAAATATGTGTAAATACCTTAGTATTTTATGGCTGAATAATTATTCTTTTTAAATGGGATAGGAAAGAGCAGATGAAAGCTAAGGCATTTAATTTAAGCTTTTGCTTTTTGATATGAAGGTGCAGTTCTGCATGGTGGAGTTCACACAAAAGTATTAGTGTTCTCTTCAAGGCAGCATCTTTCTAATATGTTATGGTAAGAAAAAACATGCAAATATTGCATAACATTGAACTGCCGAGTAGAAAAACAACAATAGTTACCACTGAGATGCAGTTTATTTGTTATCTTTTGTTACCTTCTTGAGTTTAAATAAATTTTCTCTTTCATAAGGAAGATTATTTTTCTTCTTGACAAAAATGCATGCTTATTTTGATGATTTTTTGATGTTTTTGAAGATGTTCATGCCTGTAATCAACACCTGAGATTTAAGATTAGCAGCTGCCCCATGGTCTGTGCTTATGTGGCTCTGCTACTCTCCGTTTAGAAATCCCAGATTAGCATTGGTGTATTTCCGTGGCTGCAATGGGAGAAAAATAGTGTAAAGCTGAAAAAATACTGGTGTACTGAAAGGCATGAAGTCTGAAAAGCATTTCCAGGGTGTTCATAGAAACAGCTGGTTTCACCTTTCTGCATGAAAGCTAAATTTCTTTCAACCGTATATGTTCTTTAATTTTAGCATTGGAAACATGCTGGTTGTTTTCTCTTAAGCTTAGCATAAGAGATCCACAATGGAAAATTTCTAAGGAGCTGTGTAAAACCAGAATCAACCATTAGATGGAGCTCATAAAAAAGAAATACACCATTTTTTTATATAAGGGACCTCCAAGACAACGGCTTTGCTATTTATTCCACGAACATTTCTGTTTAGTGACAGGAATATTTTTGTTACCAGTTTTAGTCTGTGAACATTCAGACTTCAGCTTGTAAGCTTCCCTTTGATGACAGTATTGGTATTTATGATCCAGGACCTCCAAAACAAGAAGGACATGGACCTGTTGGATCAAGCCCAGAGAAGGTCCATGAAAATGCTCTGCAGGCTGGAGCACCTCACCTATGGAGACAGGCTGATAAATTACATCTCACAGAAGGGAATGTTAAGGTTCCCAAATGGTTGCTCTCACCTTGAAGAAAGCAAACATTTAAGTTGGTATTTGCAGGGATTAATGTCATGTCATATAACTAGATAAACAGTCAGAGCGCTAAATTATTCTTGCATCTTTCTCCAAAAAACACCCTTTAAAAATTAGTTTTATGGACTTTCTGCTTAGTGGCATAGGACTCGGCAATACCCAGCCTGAGTGACGGGTACACCTATAAAATCCTAATTTGCTGATTGAGAGGGTTGGTGTAAGAAGCAAAGCTGTTCAATGAACTTTTTGTGAATAACCTGTTGTGTGCTTGCTTGTTTGTTTCATCTGCAATATGGAAAATATTTTACATGAAGCTTAGAAAGTTGAATTTTTTATTATTTTTTTTCCAAGCCCTGAATTACGGGTTCAAATAAAGCATTCCTTTTTAATATCTGCATAAAATGGAGCTCCGTGCTGAAATGAATTCATCTGCAATCAGAAAGTGGGGTTTTTTGCTGTTCAAACAGATTTTTCCATAATTCTATTTTTCAGTTTGACAGAAGCATAACACACACAGGTTGTGTCTCTGGGGCTGATAGGTCTGACCCATAGGTCGTAGAGGGTTGCCTAAACCTTGGTATTCCATTCATTTTTCTTGCAAGGCAGTTTTCAGTGAGCAGCATCTTTTTTTTAACCCAATGGGATGAATTGGTTTTGATACCTGGTCTAGTGAAAGGTTAGAACTAGGTGAGCTTTAACATCCCTTCCAACCCAAACCATCATAAGATACTCATATCTATATAGTCTAAAAAGAAGCCTTTATATGCACAAAATATTAATAGTGTAGTCTGGATTTAAGGGAACACTAAATAAAGAAACCTGCTGTCACCAGGAGAAACAACAGCACTGAATTTCAGCCTGCATATCCCCCCAGCAAGCTGTTGCCAGGAAGAGTAGCCAAGTCTGTGCAGCAGTCTCCATTTCTAATGCAAAATGGCTTTTAACACTTGAGGTAGAAGTAGTTTACAGCATTTTTAAACATCTCTTTTACTGAATGTTTCAGCATCTTGGCAGGAAATTTTTTTTTCTTTTTTTTTTTTTTTTTTTTTAATTCCTTTGCCTTCCATTATTGAATTTTTATGCTTTCCTTTCCTACTTCTTGAAAAACACAGTAAGATTCCTGGCCCTTTCTCAAGCTGCCCATTACCTTGCAAGGGCAGCTCTATAAATCAGCTGTGTCAAGGGGATGTGCCAAGTTAGACGTTTCCCAGCTTTTAAAGGCTTCCTATCAGTGTGTGTTTTATAGCATATTTATAATGCATTATAAAAAAAAAAGAAAAAGATCTGGGAGTGAGGATGGGCTGGAGCCAGAGTTTCTTCCTCAGCGTCTGATCTTGCCTGTCTAATGAAACATGTTTTACCAATTTTGCTATGTAGCTATTTGCTTGGTTTGTCCCTGTACTCGGGCATGGCTCTTGCTGGAGATATTAGTGCAGGAGTGACAGGGAGCTGCCAGATAGATCCATCAGGTCCAGGTTTGTGCTGATGTCCCTGGTGACTCCTCTTGTGTTTCCCAATTTAGTATGTAAAGTGTGCTGAAATCTTATGACATGTAACACACATGGATGAACTCGGTGGAAAAATAATGCTGTAAATATGTCACATCTGGTAGAAAATAGTTTCGTTTCCTCATGCATGGATGATGATGTCAGGGTTTGATCTTGCACAATTACTGTTATTTGTCGCTCGACGCAGTATTTGTCCATGCAGAGACATTGCACTGACATTCACAAAGAGCTGAGGTCTTCACAAAAACCAGTTTCTCAAGTCCCTCTTTGATTCCAGTTTCCTTAATTCTTTTTTTTCCCCTTCCACCAGTATATTGGTAAATGGGAATATAGCTTTGAGGTAAGTTTGGTAACAACTGCAACTCCTTCACCAAACCCTAGAATAGTGCATCTCTCGCTTGCTTCTGTAACAGTGCTGTGTTAAAGTGATGTGTCCTAGTACCTTTATGTACATATTGCTGCTACATGCCAAATGTCATTTATTCAGGTAGTCAGTACACGGTGTCAGGCTGCCAATGTTTTCTATGGAATGTGTGTGTTAGAGTGATAGCTAAGAGGTATCATGTCAGAAAAGTGATTTGATGAAAGTCAGATGCTGATGTTGGCGTGCACAAGAGGATGCTGGCATGTAGGGATAGGACAATAGGGAAGGGTTTTAAACTGAAGGAATGTAGGTTGAGATTAGATATTAGGAAGAAGTTCTTCCCTGTGAGGGTGTTGAGGCCTTGGCTCAGGTTGCCCAGAGAAGCTGTGGCTGCCCCATCCTTGGAATTAAGGCCAGGCTGGATGGGGCTTTGAGCAACCTGGACTAGTGGAATGTGTCCCTGCCCATGGCAGGGAGTTGGAACTAAATGAGCTTTAAGGTCCCTTCCAACACAAAGCATACTCTGCTTCTGTGAGTAGAGAAAAGCAGGGAACATCAACTTACAGTGTGAAGATTGATGGCTGAGAAGCACATGAGCACATGGACACAATGTCTGGGAAGAGCTGGCTTGTTTCTTGTGCATTTTTTGTTCACAAATGATGTAAATACACGTTGAATTATCAATATCACATCTGCTGGTCTGCATCCTTCAAACAATTGCAAACTGCAGTTGTTTATCCTCTTAAAGTTATGGGACCAGCTGGAGTTGGTGTGGTCAAACTAACTTCTGCCAGAAGAGATTATGGCTAATAGTTGAGTAGTCCTACAAATCGCAGTCTTATTACTAACTTCTACCATGGGAGGTTATTATAATTAAGCTAGTCCTATAAACTGCAGTCTTTTTACTATGTAATTGAAAGTCCTTAGTGCTTAAAAAATCAGCAAGGAAAACATTGCAGGGATTTTTATTATTTTTTTACATTACCTTCTTAGAAAGTAGTGTTTAATAAAATGAATGGAGAGGACAAATTATTTCATTCTTTCAATACTACAGATTTTCTCAAGTCAGTGCAGCCTTGCTCATGGACACAAGTTAAACTTGCTGTACCATGTACCAGAAAAAAGAGTCTGGTCAGATTAGCAAAATAATTCTTATATCTTTTATGGCCATGTGAAAAATCTACTAAATTTAGGCATTTACTGTAATATAAATGTGCAATAGTGAGAGATTGTGACATTTTGAAGTAATTTATTTATGTACCTCTGTATTCCCTTAAAAGAATAGTAGACAGAAGTGAAGATGAAGCATTAATACACAATGAAACAAAAGCAAGCAGTGATGTTTGCATTGGTTACTCAAAGTGACATTATAAGGACATTCATTCTCAGTATTTTTAGTGGCTTCTTTATACATACGTTACTTTTTCCCTACCAAGCCAAAATCACAGAGCAGGAGAGGGTGAGGGAACAGCAGCTGGAGCTGGGATGCAGGAGGAGCATCCCCAAGCAGCACCAGCCCTGGGCACCTGCCATGATCTGGCTGTCGCAGCCTAGCGTAAGATTTAGGAAAATAAAAGCTGCCCTCTAACTCTGTCTACCTGACTGGTAAAAGAAGAGCTGAAATACTGTACTTGACAAAAGAAATTCTTATTTCCCATTATGTAAATGTTTAATTCATTATATTTTTAATTTAGTAATGCTTGAGTAGGCTTCAGGATGGTTAGTACAGGTTATTACTGCAGTAGAAACATCATCTTTGCCCAACTTTTGCTGTGCAATGGGAAATCATGATTGCAGCGAGGCAGCAAGTATGGGGAGGACGGTTCAGAGGCATACTCGGTCTAAATTGCAAAATGTAAAGTGAACAGGTCTCAAGTGTACCGGTCCCTCAAAGCAAAGCAGTGAGAACTTTTTTTTGTGAAACTAAAACTTAGTTATATATACATTATATATATATATAATATGAGCATTTATGTGTGTGTTATGGCTGTGTAAGCTAGCACAACTTCCTTATGATTTGGCACTGGTGTGCTCACAGGCGCAATTACCCATTAGTAATTCCCATCAGAGTGCTCTTAGCTTTATCTGGTTCACCACTGTGGATGTCTAATCAAACAGTCTGTTACTTTTTCCTTTGTTTGTCATTGTCTTTGCTGGTTTTGTTTACTTTTGCCATTTTTCTGTTATGCAGACCCATACATTTCTTCATATAATCACCCAGTCATGCCTGACAGTAAGCAGGATAGAGGATGGCACCCGTGGTCCCACGGTGGAGGCTTGCGATGGCAGCCCCTTACAAATGTGGATTCTAAGAAACTACACGAGGCTGGAAGTCTTTAGAAAAATTTTTTACAGCCCCACTGACTATTTCCTTTAAGAAACGGTTGGAGGTTGGTATTAAAAAGCAAATATAGCATGTGATGCTTTAAGCTATTCCCAGAAAATTGCTTCTCCGTTCTCTGCCTATTAAACTCAGCTGCATTTCTTTCTTGTTTTTGCAGATGCTTATATAGATATATAATAGTATGTATGGTTAATGTTAGTTATTAGTTATTATTAATTTTAACTCATTTTAGATTAATTCAACTACCTTGATCTATTGATGTCAATGTGCTTGTTACTGTTGGCGACAGCTGAAGGTTTGGTTCCTATTCTAAGACATAGAAATTATGCTAATTGCATAATATTTTTCAGAAGACTTCATCTTGAAAATTCCCAATTTTAAGTAATTCAGTTCTAGAGATATTAGTCACAGATAATTTTAAAAGATCAACAGATAATTTTAAAATATTAGTCACTGAAGGAATCAAAATATTGTGCCAACTACTGTTCTTTCCTAGATAGGTGGTAGTTGTCTAGTTCCTAGACAGCTGAGTAATACAGGGGATGGTGATGGGGCAGCACATGTGCAGGGGTACAGGCTGGGTTTCCTCTCATTTGTCATCTCCTCCTCAGTAAGACAATGTCACCTTCCTGTCTGAGTGCATCCTGCTGAAATCAAGTGGAAGCCTCTCTTGTTAGTGGCAGACCCCTAACAACAGTAGCCAGCAGCATCTCAGCAGGTGATGTGGAGTTTCAGCTTCATTGTTTGCTGTAATGCGTTCAGAGTCCTCACTCATCAGAGCTATTATTTGCATGCATTTGGTAAGCAGGAAACCACCGAGCATCTGCACAGCTGTACAGGCAGCTCTGTACCCATGCATGTGTTCTCACGTTTGTGTAAAACATTTTAGGCTGGCTTGTATGAGTATCACATTGCCTAGTAATTAATTGTTTTCCAAGCAAATGAGACCTTTTTTGTAATAGCATAAATAATGATAGAACACAGAAAGAAAAAAATTCTGAGATGGGTTGAAAATCCCAATGATATGGTAATCTAGCATGAAATTATTCACTGAATAAAAGGGAACAGCTGATGGAGGCAACTGCAGCATTTTTAGACTTGTTTGCATTTCTGGTTATAGTAGAAAATGATAGCAGTTTAATTGCACTTAAAACAATATAAGTGAAGAATCAGTGATGCTTTGAGCAGTGCTATTTAGTAAACAAGCTACTTCTGTTAGCACTACTAATTCTTTCCTCTTGTAATTAGAGGAAAAAATGCCTTATATTCATCAGTGAATGCATATCAAATGGCCCCTCGGTGATTTGTTATAATATCTGCAGGCTTTCTTTGAGAATTGTGTAATAGTTTGTTTTAAGTTGAGGCAAATCTCTAGGGGAAAGCTGTTAAAAGAGTATTTATAATACAAATTTGGAGTGTTAGTGTGTGACATGGCAACCCAGTATGAACTAAAATTATACAGTGCAATAGCACAGGTAGATGTTTGGATAATAAGACCACATCGGCACTGTTCACATTTCCCAGCAGTTTATTTGAAAAAACAGACAGTAGTCTTTTTTTTCATACAAAGATACACAAATTAGTACTATGTAGTGCATCAGAGATGCCAGTTGTTAAAATAACTTACTTCCGTAACTTCAGTTACAGTAGCATTGTTTATATTACATATAAATAATACATAACACAATGCTGCTGCAATACTGCTGCTGCTCCAGGAATTTGGGTCGGGCTCTGCTGTTGTGTATTTGATTCATCCTTTCTCCCTCCTCCAGGAGACTGCAGGCTTTTACCCCCACCCTTGTTCCCCTAGTTATTGCTTTACATGGTGTTTGACATAAAATTGGCTTCTGCTCCAGTGGAGGGTCTGCAAACACAATTTCAGTCATGAAATCGCCAGTTCCCTTGTTTGTTCTGGTTGTGGCAGGGTTATAATCCCTGTGGAGCTCCTGTGCAACGGCTCAGATCCTGTTTGACCACTTTACCTGGATCATTAAGATAGCTGTGTTAGGTTGCTTGACTCAGAGGACCTCTTGGAGCGAGTCCAGAGGAAGTGAAAATGATGCTCTGAGGGCTAGAGCGCCTCTCCTATGGAGACAAGCTGAGAGATCTGGGCTTGTTCAGCTTGGAGAAGAAGGTGGCTCTGGGGACACCTTAGAGCAGCTTCCAGTGCCTGAAGGGGCCAACAAGAAAGCCTCAGCTTTTTGGTGCTTTTTAAAAGGACCTGTACGAATGGGACAAGGGGAATGGCTTTAAACTGACAGCGAAGATTTAAATCAGATATTAGGAATTTCTTCCATGTGAGGGTGGTGAGGCACTGGCACAGGTTGCCCAGAGAGGCTGTGGCTGCCCCATCCCTTTAAGTGTTCAAGGCCAGGTTGGATGGGGCTTTGAGCAACCTGGTCCTAGTGGAAGGTGTCCCTGGTCTTTAAGGTCCTTCCAACACAAACTAGTCTGTTATTCTGTCAACAGGGTCCATATAATCCCATGGGGTGGTGGAGCTGGTGCAGGATGTGTCCTGCCCTAAAACTAAACAAAGGCCAAAATAATGACATTTTGAGTCAGGTGCAGCAGCAAACACATATGTTTACTGCCAAAATATTAAGTTGATATTGAGCTTGCAAGGCTGTGGATGACTGCAGGTGCAGTGCTTGGCTATTGCATTGTGCAGGGCCTGACTGCAGCAAACTTATCTGGGAGCCAGGCTCTGCACTCTGGCTAGGGAGGGCAGAACACTGGACTGACACATGGGGATATGGCAAGGTGGTCCCCAGCCCTGGGGCATTGGTTCAGCTCCATCCTGAGCTGGGCACAGACCACAACTGCCCTGCACCATTGTGCTGCCCTGGCTCCTGCGTGTGTCATTATATGGGCTACACAGCTCTGTCACAGATATCCACTGTGGACTTCAAGTGTATCCAGGTGCATGAGCGGGTTTGCATATTATGCAGATTTGATTGAGATGGGGTTTTTTTCAAGAACTGGAGGACCTTTTAGGTAATAGTAAATTGGTAAATGCAACACTTCTTAGCTGAGGCGCTTAAGGTGTGTGCTTAATTGCCTTGATTTTGTGTGTAAAACCCCCAGGTCAACCCCAGAGGAGTGACACAACACCTTCTGCTCAGCTGCATATGTACCTGTCTTGTTTTATCTGAGTACACAACTTCATGTTTAACTGCCCTGGATGTCTTCATGGACATGTTCTCCCAATGCTTTTGAATGGAAGACGATTTATTTCTTCAAAATAAGTTCTATTTTCTATCATCTCCTTTTGACTCTCATCCCTCAGAAATACAGTGTCATGTGGTAGGGTGTCACAAAGAAAAAATGTATTGGAAACAGAATATTTTTTGCCTTCATGTTGCCATTGTTCACATAATACTTAGCAAATGTATTGCCATTAACAGTTATTTCTGAACTGGTGCACTGATCTGAAATGCACAGGTGTTCAAGTTGTTGGAAGCTAATATCCTTAATCCAGAATACCACTGCTTTGAAATAATACTTCCTTGCACTTATTTTGTGCTTTTCTGTTGCATTTATTTGTTGCTGGGTTCAACGGATGTGCTGGCTCTCCGGGTTGCCTGGCCATGCATGAGCAGGTGAGCTGGGCATCCCATAGCGTGGTACGGGTTTTGTAGAACTGTACAAGTGATGGCCAGGGATGAGTACTGGTGTTGTGGCTTGCGTAGTGGCTAGAATAAGATTGAAATAGGACCAGAAATAGAATTACTGGTTTTCAGCAGTAATTATCTTGCTGCAGCTCTCACTCTTCTCTGTTGCAGAAGCTCACCCTGAGGCATGTCAACAGCAACCAGTGTCTGGATGAGCCATCAGAGGAGGATAAGATGGTTCCCACCATGAGGGAGTGCGGAGACAGCCGTTCCCAGCAGTGGCTGCTGCGCAACATGACCTTGGGTGCCTGAAGTCAGCACAGACCCACTGCCTCGTCTAGGATCTCTTCTCATTCTCTTCCTCCTCCTTCTCCTCCTCCCATCCTCCTTGCTGAGGCCAGTGGTGCTGAAGCCCTCTCCAAATCCCAGCTGACAGAGCAAAGTCACGGGGCAAGGTTCCTTGGTGCGGCAGGTCTCCACATGCCCCTTCAAAACCTGTGACTGTTCAAAAGAAGCTCATCTGAGCCTATAAATGTCGAAATGTGTGCTGTTACCACACAAATCTGCTCAAAAATTGTTCCAGAGGAACCTCTATGAACCCTGTGTCAAAGAGGTTGGGATGGGGGGTATTTTCTGTGTGTCACACACCACTACAAAGAAGTGACCCAGTATAAAATGCCTTATAACACTAAACGGCATTGGGAACCATCCTGACAAGCATCTCCCAGGCTGCATGTATTGGTTCTGGTCTTTCTTGGCAACACATGGTAGACATTTGCTGTTCTCTTGTGTTGAAAGGGACTTGGTGAAGAACCACACTGAGTGGCAAAGTTGCCAGGCTCTCAGCTTTGTGGTTTGTTCAGGGAAAAAAATGGGATTTGGTGTTTGGAAAAGCAACAAAACTGAGCAAAGACTGCACTCAGAAATTGAAATTAAATCAGATGAGCAACAAAAGAAACAAACAATGTTAAGAAGGACTGATGCATGTGGGTAACTCAGACCAGCACAGGTGACCTGTCCTGCAGTGGAAAGAGAAATGGCTGAGGCTGACACTTGAGAGCTGCAAGGGGGTTGCAGATGGAGGTTCCAAAACCTGGCCCTCTGAGACTGCTGGAGACTGAGAGTTGGTGTGAACTTGGTCCCTAGCTGCTACCGTTGAGCATTAGTATATACCCACATCCTGTCTAAGGCACAGACAAGAGCCTCATCCGTGCATCCCCTACGCACAGAGGATAAAACTGGATTGATTCCCAGTTCTGGCTCCAGATGTTCTTGCTTCGATAGCAATGACAGATGCTTATTTATATTTTTAATAATTTTGTGGCTTAATAATTTCATTAGAGTGGTTATTAAAAATGTGCTGATGGCACACGGTTATGTCGGAAGTGTGGCAGGACCTGGTGCTGTGCCAGGCCATGTGGGTGTAGGGAAGGGGCCCATATGTAAGGGTGACATTTCCTATGTGTACTGTTGATGTTTTCTTTGCTGCTCCCAGCAGAATGTACTCCCCAAAATGCATCTGCTGCGTGATGGGCTGCGCTGAGTTTTTGGCAATACTCTGTAATTTCTTATTGTCTAGAGGGTTTAAGAGACCTAAATCACAGGGCAGCAGCTGTGAGGTAACTTCAGCACAGGTTAAGTGGTGAAATGGCGTCCCATTATTTCACTCAAAACTCCTCAAAAGCTCTGTTTATGCAATAGGTCATTCAAAATGACAATATTTTCTGTATAATGCTATGGTTGCTATGGATTAATAGTATCATATATGTACCTACTATAAATTTATAGATCATCCATATTTTCTCAATACACAAACTGAAAAAGTTATTGTTGTGCATGCGTGGGAGCTAGGGTGTCACGGGTTAACTCAGACTGGAAGCTCATCTAGTCCAGCATTCCTGCTTGAAGTAGGGTCAAAGAGTTCCAGTTCTCATCTTCAGGTCACTAGAGAAGTACATGATATGGCTTAAAAGCTAGCAAAACAGGAGGTGGCCATAATTCTCCTTCATAGAAAGAGCATGAGAACATCACAAACAAATTCAAGCCCCAGCCTCCATGCAGACAAAAATAAGTTGCCAAGGGCTTTGCCATGTGCACAGCCACTTGTGCTGGTAGGTCATGTATCTGGGCTCTTGGCTTCTGCATGGTTTAGCAGAAGGAAGCACTGTGGAAGGTCCTGCAGCATCCAGGAGCACTGAGAGGGTAGCAGGCTCTGGTGGTGATTTGGAAATACCCCCAGTTTTGGGGGGGCGAAGGCTGACAAGTAGAATCACAGAATCATAGAATGATTTGGGTGGGACAGGACCTTACAGCTCATAACAGTTCCAGCATTCTGCCAAGGGAAGCAACACCTTCCACTAGACCAGGTTGCTCAAAGCTCCATCCCACCTGGCCTTGAACACTTAAAGGGATGGGGCAGCCACAGCCTCTCTGGGCAACCCGTGCCAGTGCCTCACCACCCTCACAGGGAAGAACTTCTTCCTATTGTCTAATCTGAATCTCCCCTCTGTCAGTTTAAAGCCATTCCCCCTTGTCCTGTTCTACAAGCCCATGTCAAAAGTCCCTCTCCAGCTTTCTCATCAGCCCCTTTAGGTACTGACAGCTGCTCTAAGGTCTTCTGGAGCCTTCTCCAGGCTAAACAAGCCTAACTCTCCTACTCTCCAAATATCCTTCGCTGCCTGTTCAGATCCCAGGGTTTTCTTGGCATCGTAGCTGGAGGATGATGACAAAGTGCAATCAGTGTGCAAGTGTGTAGCCTTTAGGCACAGTCTCAAAAATGGATAAAGAAAATAATATTTTTCTCCTTACAATTATTATAAAGGTTATAATTCTTCTGAAGTTTATAATCCCTTGACCAAGATAGCAAGCTTGCAGTGTTTGGGGTGGTTGGTGCCTGCACTGCTGTGTCCCTGCTTGGGGAAGAAGGGAGATGCCTTTGTGTTGGAATATACTTATATTAGGAGCAAGTGCACGCATCCCTCGTGACCAGAGCAGGACTATTGCTGTAGGTCCTCAGAACAGTGGCAGGGTGTCCTGCTGCCTAGAAACTGTGCTCAGACCTAGAGGAAAGCACTGAAATAGCTGTTCAGCTTCTGTAACTCCTGGATAAGGATACAGAAACCTCACGAGTCTTACTGCACGGGAGTTTCAGGCAAAGCCTCAGGTACAGCAAGCGAGGGCATGATGGTAGAGGTGCCTTAAATGCTGATATGGCATTGGAGATGATAAATGATGGGGTTTAGAGAATGAATGTAAGTTAGTGTGCTTGGACTTCTGCCCTTCCTCCTGCCACTGGACTCAGGTGTTGCATTGGCAGGTGATTTGGGCTAAAATAATTTAAAATAGATTGTTTAGTTGCCTTGGTCGGTGTGTATCTGAAGTTCAGAACCCACAAATGACCACAGAAAAACATCACTTGGTCTTTGTTTCCCCGTCTGTAAAATATCTCAGAAAGGTGTCGGGAGGGTTAACTTTGATTTGCACAGTGTGTTTAAAATATAAAGAACCTTACAAATGCTAAATATTTATTGTTTTCATTGAAAAGTGTTGCCAGTTTTTGTGGTTGTAAGACACAATGAAATGGGAGTGAGCTGTAATGCTGGGTGGCATCAGCAAACTGACCGCTTTGAGGAGTAAGTTGAACCATAAACACTGTACAAAGCTGCAGTCCTTTTTATCGCCCAGCACTTCCTGGCGATCCATGGGGGTGAGGAGACCCAGGAATAACCCTTGAACTGAAATGGGTATTTGGATCAATTGACCTAGGTGGGTTTTTCTACTGATGCATATACGCTGGTTGCTGGGAGGATTTCATGTATTTGTTGTGCTCTAATAGGGATAGCGCTGTGAAGTTGCAAAACTCCATGTTCTGATTTTAGTTTTTAATTTGCAATTGGAGATCTCCTCAGATCCTATACCATAGGCTGCATCTCAGGGGGTGAGGCTACACCACATGTAACCTGCTACTAATGACGAGCTGTGATCTGGTCCAGTGGTGTTTTGGATGAACACCAGCAATGTATTCAAATGCTTGTGTGGCTTTCCGTGTCCATGCCGACTTGCAATCACATCCAGCCAGAACCATTGCTCCAATATGTGGCCACCCCCATTTTATTTTCTTTTTCCTCTGTGAGCACATATTCAGGACAGCTCGGTAAGCAGTGCCTCGCGAAAAGGCCACGGTGCTCTGAGATGCTACAAACTTCATCTGAAAAATGTTGGAATTCTGCTCGGTATTTTCCAAAGCGGGACGAGACCGAGGTGCAGTGATTTGGAGAACACGCTTGCAAAGGCTCCTGAATAAGTGCTGGGAACACAGATTTAAATTAAATTTACAAAAGCAGATTGTGGATAAAGAATTACACATTTTAAATGTTGTAACAGTTATCAAATGGTAAACTGGTACTCTTTGCTGTACATTTAAATATTTATACATTTTTGTAGAATTAAAATATACCAGTTTAGTTTTCTTCTGGTGCATTTGTCTTTTTCTAGATGTACTTATTTTTTGTATGGTAAAGCAAGGGATGGGGAGGTGGCTGCACACAGACCACGGTTGGGCCGATGCAGCTACTTGCAGCTGTTCACCACCTGGAGCTTAAGGCTCTGTTTTCCAGCCATCCCCTGAAAAACGCTGTCAGGCAGGAAAAGTGAGCTCAGCTATGTGTCACGTATAGTCCAAGGAGACACACTGGAATCTGCGTCTCGCACCTGAACCTCTAGTCTTTACTGTGTTGAATATTGCCCATATGCTGCATGAACTATCTGTATGTTGGGAAAAATAATAATTCAATGGGAAAGAAGTGATTTCCTGCATATAAATCCTGCTCCAGCCCTCCCTGCAGCAAGCAGAGAAGGTTGAATGGCCATGTTGTACAGGCATTGTGACTGGTTTGTGATGCTTCTCATCCCTCAGGTGAGAAGGCTGCACTGTACTGGAGCTGTAAGGACACTATAGTACTACATATATAAAAACCAGACAAAAATTATAATAAATATATTAATCTAAATATATTGTATCTAATTAGTTATATTTTTATATATTTTTGTTACATATTATATTTGTAAAATTAGTTTTATTAACTACATCAGCTATATCTTAATATGTAATGTAATAAAAGGCTATGTATTATATATAATACATGCTTCCATAAATGGAATCTTAGTCTTACTTGAGTGATGGGAGGATTTTCCTTCTTTTAAGTCTTATCTCTGATCTTGAAGTGGGTAAATTCTGGTAAGAAGGGAGGAAGGACAGTATTTTAAAACCAAAGCATTTATGAGCATAAATGAAAGTTAACCCTCAGGAG